GATTTTTTTGCCCATGTGGAAAAATTGGCAACAGTTGCCCTCGAGTTATAACTTTGTCTCTAAACAAAAACTGCAGGAGTTATGAGAATATTCAAAGGATTTAGAAATATCTAAAAGAACTGTACCTTAAATAAAGTTCTTTTAAATAAAGTTATTCCTGAACTGTAGCTCCCACCTCAACCAGCATGCCCTCTAGGTCTACCACTTACCTGTTTGCAATCTACAAAGACGTTTGCCTTTGGGCAAAGGCTCTTCATGGAAACTCTCAATCCTATGAGAAGGCTATCAGCCTTTGAGGTACACAATCAATGGCTTTTCTGTAGAAATAAATGGAGGAACCATTGCACATCATAAAGAATGCAACACCCAGAAATTCCACAGCAAAGATCTCCATGAATCATGGACAGGTAAGTGGCAGACTTGGGGTGGATAAGGATAACTGAACTAAAAGCACAGTTAACCTCTAAATATTAGAACTTGTATCACGTTCCTAAAAATATGACATGAGACGTAAGTGGTTGTAAAAAAAAATTGCATTTTGAATGACACTGCTGTGGCTGACTTACTATAGAACCATTTTCTTTCAGCAGATTTCCATAATGGAATTCCTTCACAAATCTCTACTGCTCACAGTACTGGTATGCCTGGTGGCATGTCTTCCACAAGCACCAGCCAACTGTCTTCTAAATGGTCCAGGCAAGAAAACACTAGATGGGATTCCTAAAGTAAATACTGAAGTGAAAACAGACTTGGGAGTACCTGAGATAAAAGGTTATTATTTGAAAAAATCAGTATATTCCAGAACATGATTATGGAGTTACATTACTAAATATGATAAAACCTAATGGTGAAATGTTGTTCTATCAAACCCTGTCAGATGTTCCAGGCAAAGAAAATCTAAATGGGGTTCCTAAAGTAAATACTGAAGAAGTGAAGACTGACCTGGGAGAACCTGGCATAAAAGGTTATCATTTGAAAAAATATCAACATGTATAATCAGAACATGGTTGTGAAAATAAAGCGGACTAAACCAGTTTAATTGGTTTAAAAAAACTGCATTCCTGGCACATCAGGCATGCTAACTGTGACATTTGCTTGTGCTCTCAGCCAAACTGTCAAACCATCAAATGGCTGGTGTCACAACTGGTCACATTTGCAGCACTATGGCAGCTGCAAATCCAACTGAGGCTAAGATAGCAGCTTCTTTGGCTGAAAAATATAGGAGGGTTTAGTTACACTTTAAATTAGGCTCTGTTCACTACGACTGCTGCGACTTGAAAGTTGTGCGACTTCCATTGCGACTTGATTACGACTTGATGTGACTTCAATGGGACTCTGATGCGAATTTGATGTTATGCGTCTTTGGTTTTGGTAAAAAAAACTGTAAAGTCAGATACTGTTTGCATCAAAGTTGCTAAGATTAAGACAATCCTTTTGACTTTTATAATTTTAACATTGCAGTGTATGGCACTGAAACTGCTCCAAAGATGCAGAAAACAAAGGAAGTGCAGAACCTTCTTTTTGAGTTGCTCAAGATGGAACCAATTGAAATGAACATGTTTTGACCTGTCAAGAAACTTTATGTTTCACAAGTCGCTTTCAGTTGCATGATAGGTCGCATCAGTGTGACCTTAGTAAGTATGATGAAACATAATGGCGAAATGCTGTTGTATGTTGCAGGCAAAGAAAATCTAAATGGGCTTCCTAAAGTAAATACCGAAGAAGTGAAGAGAGACCTGGGAGTACCGGGAGTACCTGCGATAAAAGGTTATTATTTGGAAAAAAAATCAACATATTCATTCAGAACATGGTTGTGAAATGAAATATCATTAAACATAATGGTGAAATGCTGTTGTATCACACCCTGACAGATGTTACAGGCAAAGAAAATCTAAATGGGGTTCCTAAAGTAAATACTGAAGAAGTGAAGAGAGACCTGGGAGTACCTGGGATAAAAGGTTATTATTTGGAAAAAAAATATCAACATATATATTCAGAACATGATTGTGAAATGAAATATTAAACATAATGGTGAAATGCTGTTGTATCACATCCTGACAGATGTTCCAGGAAAAGAAAATCTAAATGGGATTCCTAAAGTAAATACTGAAGAAGTGAAGAGAGACCTGGGAATACCTGGGATAAAAGGTTAATAACCGCTTTCTCACCGCCCTATAGCAGATATACTACTACAGGGCGGCAAGGGTGCGCAAAATCACATATATATATATATGTGATTTTGCATCTCCGAGTAGGGGGCGCATGCACGCCCTACTCGTGCCGCTATTCACGACCTTGGCTGTCAATGACTGGGTCCCGGCCGGTGATTACTCGCCGACACCCGGTGATCAAGGAGCATTACTGACGGAGGGAGAGAACTGTATGTACACAATACAATTCTCTCCCGTCAGCTCCTGCACACTGTTTATGCAGAGCCGCATAGCAGTGTACTTACAGTGAAGACAACACAGCACACAGTAAAACAGCACACAGTTAACCCTTTGATCGCCCCACATGTTAACCCCTTCCTGCCCAGTGCCTTTAGTACAGTGATCAGTGCTTTTTATTAGCACAGATCACTGTATTGGTGTCACTGGGGATGTCAGTGACACCAAGTCAGTTCCCCCCAGTGTCAGAATGCCAGCCGCAGTCCCTCTATAAGTCGCTGATCGCCGCCATTACTAGTAAAAAAAATTTGTTAAATCCCAGTATATATACCGCCACTTGTAAAATGCTAGAACTTTCATGTAAACCAATTAATTTACACATATTGGGATCTTTATTTAGCAAATACATGTAGCAGAATACATTTGACCTAAATTTATGCCAAAATTAGATTTTTAAAAATTTTTTACTGGAGATGTTTAATAACAAAAAGTAAAAAATATTGTTTTTTTTCTCAAAATTGTCTGTCTTTTTTTGTATAGCGCAAAAAATAAAAAAAAATGCACAGGTGATCAAATGCCACCAAAAGAAAGCTCTGTTTGTGGGAAAAAAAACGGACATAAATTTAATTTGGGTGCAGCATTGCATGACCACGAAATTGTCAGTTAAAGTAACGCAACCCCGTTACGCAAAAAATGGCCTGGTTACGAAGGGGGGCAAATCCTCTGGAGCGCAAGTAGTAATTGAAAATGATAACATGTCTATTTAATCAGAACATAGTTGCAAATTAAATTGGTAAAAATGATGAAACATAATGTTGAAATGCTGATCTATCATACCCTGTCAACAATGTAACGTATGGTAGCAAGAGAAAGTCTTATCCTGAAATTTCATTGGCTTCCATACAACTGCTACTACCTCTCTACTAGAGATTGGATGGTTGTTTCCTTTAATGCAGAAGACATGAAAAGTTTTGAAAAACTCAAGTCCATGCTTTAGAATTGTAATGTGTTTTAAATACTGTTAGTATAACTGTTTGAAGGATTTAAGCTCACAGCTCAAGCTAATTAGGTATAACCTTTCATCTCATCTTCACCCAGGTATACTGAAATCTATTGGTATTGGCAAACCATCACTACCTAAAGCAGGCACAGATGTCCAAGGATTAGCTAGAAAGAAGCTAAATTTGCCTAGCTTGGGAAAATCAGGTAGACAATTCCCTTGAAAAGTTATTTTTGGTGTCCTTTTTTACTATATGTATTTTGTTACGTGTAAATAAATCAACACAGCAACTTCAAATATACAGTATGGGAAGAAATGTATGTAATAAAGATAAAATGGGTTTGATTTAGTAAATGCAAATAGACTGTTCACTTTGCAAGTGAATTTGCATGCTGCAAGGAAATTTTCCCCAGAACTTTCTCAATGTGGTAAATTTCACTTTGCAAAGATTACCCAATCATGTGCAAGGAAAGTAAAAAAGAAACAGCATTAAATGTGCTGAAAGTTCACTTTGCACAGAACACCCAATAATGTGGAAGTGCAATTAAAAAACAGCATTTGAAAAACACAGGATTGGATAATGAACGTTAGCAGAGCTTCATCATTGGCTAAACTCTAGGGAAAATTCCCTTGCAGAGTGCAACTTCAATTGCAAAGTGATTAGTCTGTTTGCCTTTATCAAATCAACTCCAATAACTCTCTTCTCTCCTGTAGGTGCTGCTGCCAAACCTTGTACTTCATCATTGGTAGAGCTATGTCAACGGGTCACCAAAATGGAATCAGGCAAGTGCTGAAACAGATCCAGTTATTATTTTTTTTAATGTATGTGGTACAAAAACTAAAAGTAGTCCATTATGAAAAACTACGTTCGTAGATGTTTATCAGGATGTAGGAAGAGAGGCCATGATTCACAACATAGGCGTCAGAAAGTATCTGCTGACTTCCCTCGTAAGATTGTCTACATGTGACGGGAAGGAAGCAGATTATAGTACAGATTATAGAACATTCAGAAAAAAATTAATTGAGTAACTTTTTAATTTTAGCCCAACTGCAGTATTTTCCCGTTAATATCAGTAGCTCCCTAATTGCTATAACTTGTCTGCAATTGCACTTTAATCTACTTATGAAATCTTGCCTATGCGGGGCAAAGGAACAGGTTTCCTTTAATCTATCTAACCCTCCCAAGCAGTATAAAATGACCTATATGTAAGCATATCTTTTGCTCCCCAAACTTTTTTTTCTGTTGTTAGGTAGGGTTAAGAGCTCCCTTTGTAACAGGCCCAAATCGGTCCAGTACTGTTGTATGGATTGCGTCACATACTCTTCTATATTCAGTAGTACTGGTAATTTACTTTGGCTCTCAGTGCTGAATGGAACAGCGGGGGAGTGAGAGAAATATTAATATACAGTATGTTACTAGTAAGGGGTGATCATTAGGAACTTGTTGTTTTCTCCTGAGTGGGAAAAATACATTTGCTTTAGGGTGCACAGCACAACTGCCCAGTTCATACTGACTTTTTAAGCGATTTCAGATAGACTTTTCACAATAATTTTATTGTCTTTTAACTTTAGCGCTCAAGCTGCTAGAATTTATTCAAGTGGTAGGAGATAAAATGATAGTCAGCAGCGGTAAGACTGAGGAAATAGAAAAATCCAAGACCACATGCCAAGGAATCGGTGGCCGTATGGCCACTCCCAGGAATGATGCAGAGAACAATGGTATCTCATTCTTTACAATAAAGCATAATCAATATGCATACTTGGGTTTGAAAGAAGGACCAAAAGCTGGTGTCTTCCATTATCCCAGTGGAATACCTGCACTTTATACCCGCTGGAGCAAGAATGAACCCAGTGGCCAAGGACAAGAAAACTGTGTGGAAATGTATACTGATGGCAAATGGAATGATAAGGGTTGTAACCAAAGACGCCTCACAGTTTGTGAATTGTAATTCATATGAACATAATTCTGTTATTTTTTTGTATTTCTAAAGTGACTAATTAAGCATATCATCAGCAACTATAAATATTACATATGAAATATAATGCATGGTTTGCTTCAAATAAAGAGGTATTTACATATGAGTATATGTTCATATAATTTATAATGGTATATCACAAGATTAATGATTATTATATACATGACAATAATCATATTCACAAACTGTAACTAAGCGTGTTCTGTGATTATGAAATAAACCAATCGCATATCATCATCCCTGGCTATTCTTTCTATGTACATTTCAATATCGGTTTGTCCTTCAACATACTTTTGGTGACCCATCTTACAGACACAGCTATCTTCCGTACACTTCTGCAGCTTTATGGACTATAATGTGCTTGTGAAAGCCTATATCCATCTCTATGGATAAATAGAACTTATATATTAGCAATTTAGCACTGATGTAGAATTAATAAAAGTAGCCGCTCATCAAAATCTTGCAATCGTGATAATCATATACAATGATCTTAAATCAATATAACATAAACAATAATGTGTCACAAAAAACGTAATATCCAAAATCTCAAAAATCTTTCTAATGTGGCAGTCCAACTGGTGACCATTTCTTGCAGCTCTGAATTGTGTTCCATCACCGTGTATGGCTGAAATGGGAACTCACCAGATCAGCTCGGCCAACAAAGTAGCCAACAAGCTTGTGAACACAGATCCTGCATGCCATGGGTGTGATGCACAATCCTGCAGAATCCCCCAGCCTCCTCCAACCAAATGATAATAAACCACCTTCTCCATTCTCAGTATTATCTTTATTCGCTATTTTCCCATCTCTTCTGAACAGACAGGAGCTGTGCAGAGCCCCGCTTGCTGGTCAGCTGTGCTACTTCCCATGCTCAGGACAACACACAATCTGCGCTGACCCAGCCAAGCCTATATGTTAGCATGGCTTTTCATTATTAGCATTTATGCTGCTGTTTCAGGAAATAAAAATGTCATGCTATGTAGAGATATATAGAGATGAAAGCTCACTTCAGTTCTTCTTGGTGTCTGTGTGTGTAAAGTGCTACCCCTGGATGAGCCATTGAATATAAGGTCTCTGTATACCTAGAGAGGACACACTTTGCTCTCCCAGCTCTTACAGACACACCTTGGGGTACTTCAAGGAATTTTTTTGAACAGAAGCAGCCTGAGGGAAAAAAAATGTGCCAACAGGCAATAAAACAATATATTGACCCATAGAGAAAATTGACTTAAAGGATATGTAAAACCAACATTTCATATTCCTGATATGTGCCTGCTGTACCTTGTACGAAAATGTATACTGTCCTCCTTGTATTGCTTCCTTTGTGTGAAATCCCTGGTTTTCCTGCCTGTCAACCTAATTTCCTTTAAAAAAAAGAAAAAAAAAACACACACTAAGCAGGAGAGCACACTGTGATCAGTTATCTAGCTGTGCAGGGAACTAAGCCTGCTCTCCTCCAATAAACAGACTTGCCTTGACACCCCCATATAATGGTCATGCACATTGGGCACAGGAAAACTGTATGTTGCAGCCATTTAGTTCAGGTCCCAGGTCCTCCAAGTCATTTTGCCAGAAGAGAGACATAGCTGCAGTGACCTTCCCCCTCCCACCTCCTTCAGTTTATACAATCAACAACCTCTTAGCTGCACACCAGACACTCCTTATCAGTATTTTGATCTCTGAATCTCTGACATGATCAACATTTAATGTTGCACTTGTAAAAGAGACATAACAAAACAATTTCAACTGACCTCTAGTTTAGCTTGGTAGGATTTTTGTTTGTCAGAGGCTTGTTAGAAGCCTGGGATGAGTCAGCCTGGGAGTGAAGTAGTGGGTTCACCTCAGAACAGTCTGAAAGGCCCTCAGGTCAGAGCTTCTGGAGCCCTCTCACCCTTCCAGAAACTTCTAGCACTTTCTGGAAGAAAGGCGAAGGATGGGAGGAGGCCCAGATTTGAATGTTTAGGGGAACTTAGCCGATCCCCAGGCAGGAGGCTGGGGATGGTGGCCAAGGACAACCCTTACATATGACAGAGCCTGTGAAGCAGGGGAGTCGGGTGGAAGATGGTCTGAAGGAAGGTGTGAGGGACCGCCGAGCGGCGCAGCACTAGCACTCCACTGGTCAGGCGTGCCCAGAGCACGGAGTCTAAGCCCCAGGGTACTTGTTCACCAGGGCCCCTGATGGTGGGGATGGACTTGTAGTACCCCGAGACCAGGTCGCCACTACTGAGCACACCTGTCAGTGGTAGGGGTGTTCGCCAGGGGCTCCAACCAGGGAGAGCCAGATGTGAGGAGGTCGGGTGACCCCGATGGGATGGATGGATGGCCTGAGCAAGTGCGAAGTCAGACAGGCCGAGTTGGTAACGTAGAGGACGGTAAGGTACAAGGGAGCAGGCAGAGAATCGTCGGGTCACACGCCAGGTCAGCAACAGGAGGTCAGATCTAATGAGGGGCATCCAGGGAGAGAGGTCAGGCAAGCAAGGGTCTGGGCAGGAGAAATCAGCAGGTCAAGAACAATCCGGGTCAATAAACTTACAAGGCACAGGTACAGAATCGCAGGAAGCAGGTAAGACCAGAAGGCAACGAAATGACAGCTCAGGGACCTTTAAATATCTCGCCCTGCGCTGCCATTGGTGCCCAGCGGGCGGCCGCGGCTTCTACTGCGCATGCGCGAACTCGAACGCCGCGGCCGGCCCAGACCTAGTGCCCGTGTACAGGGCGGAGCAGTGCGCCTGTGCCGGGACCATCGCGGCAGGGATCGAGGGGATCCCTGACATTGCCCCCCCCCTACGGGCAACCTCCGGATGCCCACCCGATCTCTCCACCATGGGTGATCACAAAGAAACCTCCGGACAAGTCTAGGTGCATGGACATTATGGGCTGGTTCCCACAAATTGTCCTCAGGGCCGTAGCCCTTCTACTTGATGAGAAATTGGGTCTGGCCCCCCCCTTCGTCGGCACTTCAGGATTGCCTCCACCTCGAATTCTTCTTCCTCTTCAACCGTTACGGCCTCGGGGGCCTGGATTCCCGTTCTGGGAAGGCATCAGGGACTACCGGCTTCAACAGGGACACGTGGAAGACAGGGTGGATCTTGAGTGTCTCAATCCGTTTGATGCAAAAAGGGCCTATAAATTTAGGTCCCAACTTTTTTGACGGGCAGAGCATCTTCAAGTTGGATGTAGCCAGCCAAACCTTCTCTCCGGGCTGCAACACCAGATCCCCTCTTCGCTTCCTATTAAAAGCCCTCTTGTAGTCTTCTTGGGCTTGACGGATGGCTTCCTGTAGTTTTTTATTGTTTGAAGTGAAAAAGGTTAGTGCATCCTGTGTCGCTGGAATTGGGCATTCCGGGACTAAATCCGGGAGGAAGACAGGATGAAACCCATAGTTGGAGAAGAACGGGGGACTGCCCAGTTGCTGAATGGCAAGCGTTGTTGTACGCGAATTCTGCCAAAGGGAGAAGTGGCACCCAGTCGTCCTGAGAGAATGATGTGTAGCATCGCAGGTATTGCTCTAGGGTCTGATTGGTCCTTTCGGTCTGACCATTGGTCTGAGGGTGAAATGCCGAGGAAAGGGATAGCTTGATATCCAGGGCTTTGCACAATGCCCTCCAAAATCTCGAGGTAAACTGCACCCCTCGGTCCGAGACGATGTCTTCGGGAACCCCATGCAGTCTAACGACCTCTCGAATAAAAACTTGCGCCGTCTCGGCTGCTGATGGAGTCTTCCGTAAAGGAATGAAATGGGCCATCTTGGATAAGCGGTCCACGACCACGAGAATTGCTGTGTGGTCCAGTGAAGGTGGAAGCTCGACTATAAAGTCCATAGAGATTTTCTGCCAGGGCCGTTCAGGGATGGGTAATGGACGTAGCAGGCCCCACGCCTTATTTCTTGAAGGCTTTTTCCGCTGGCAGATGGCACAGGAGCCCACGTAACTTTTACAATCCTTGGCCATGTCCGGCCACCAGAAGGAACGTTGGAGAAGTTCCAGGGTCTTGACCGGGCCAAAATGTCCTGCCATCGGGTGGTCATGGCAATGTCCCAAGACTAAGGTTCGAGCATCCTCCGGCACCACAATCCGGTCCTCCCTCCATAGGAGTCCCCCCTTGTTCTGGAGGGGGCGCCCATCGGAGGTAGACATCGCTGTTGACGCTCTCAGGATCTCGGAGGCGAAGGTTCGTCTGGAGGGCCAAGAAGTTTCCTGCAGGAAGAATAGTGTCAGGTACTGGGATCTCCTTGGTGTCCTCGTACATGCGCGACAACGCGTCTGGCTTCGTGTTTTTTGAACCCGGCCTGTATGTGATGTGGAACTGGAACCTCGAGAAAAACAATGCCCATCTTGCTTGTCGTGTGCGCAGACGTTTGGCCGTCCTCAGATATTCCAGGTTCTTGTGGTCCGTGAATATCAGGATGGGATGGGAGGCACCTTCCAACAGGTACCTCCATTCTTCTAATGCGGTCTTGATAGCCAGTAGTTCTCGATCCCCAATGTCGTAGTTCCTCTCCGCAGGGGTAAGTTTCCGTGAGAAGAATGCTACTCGGTGAAGTAATTCCTTGGCGCCCTTTCGCTGGGAAAGGATGAAGCCAACCGCGTTTTCTGACGCATCTACTTCTAAGATGTAGGGCAGGGAGGCGTCGGGATGACCCAGAATGGGTGCCGAGGTAAATAACTTCTTTAGTGCTTCAAAAGCTTCCTGTGCCTCTGGCGTCCATCTGAATCGCGTCCCAAGCTTGGTTAACTGAGTGATGGGGGAGACCAGACCCGAGAAGTTCTTGATGAACTTCCGGTAGAAGTTTGCGAACCCAATAAAACGTTGGACGCTTTTCCTGTCTGTGGGTTCAGGCCAATCTAGGATCGCAGAGACCTTCTGAGGGTCCATTGCGACCCCCGTGGTGGAGATAATCAGACCCAGAAATGTAACGCTAGCCTGTTCAAAGCAACATTTCTCTGCTTTAGCGTACAACCCGTGCTGCCGCA